ATTTGATCCATTGCATGTAGTATTAATGGAATATACTTTCATTCATTGTATACATTGTTTTCTCCATAGAAATATGCTGATATAGGCGAAATCATAATGCCAGAAAATGAGAAAAGAAAATGGCAGAAAATCATACTTTCTTCACCTTTTGTTTTCTTTTTTGCAACATATTTGCAGTTAAAGTAATGTTTATAAATGCAAATACGTAAGTAGTCGAATCAAATGTCTAAGCTCAGGGAGTAATTACCGCATGATTCCTCAAATAACTTGCTGCGAATTGTTTATGAGTCTACTGTTTTGAAAGTTAATCTATTGACTCACATTTCTCTCTATGATTTTCTAAAGATAGATTCCTGCGAGCTCAAATTAATAGACTTGGGTAGGCAATGTATGAATTTTCCGAGAAATGGATTTTGTGAAAATGTGGATATTATGTTTACCGAACCATGTTATTATGCTCGCTAATGCTTTCTTTAATGCATCTCTTATTGATTTTCCAAATAGTTGCGATTATTCATGAAAGCAAGCCATACTCTGGATTATCACTCAATTTTGTGTTGCGAGAAACTGCAAATGTTTATAAGACAAGATCTGAACTTTGGAAATGCATTTCACGATAGATCTGGAATTGTTTGTCCATTTTGTGCAAGCATGTTAGCTCGTCAAAATAAGCAATTAATTGTATTCCACTTGATTTAACTTTGATCGATGGATTTGGTGATCGAAATATGTACACTTACTAAACATGTCATATATCTAACTTTGACGAATTATTGATACGTGTGAGGATGTCGATTTGGTAGTAGTGTTTTTATCTTCTTCTTCAAAAACACGTTAATAGAAACAAGAGACAACATAATCACTGCTCTTCCTCTCTTTATTTTTATTGAATATATTACTGAATTTAAGAAGTGTTCTGACTTGACGAGCGTCGGAGTGCTAACGCCGGGAGCACCTCTCCTGATCCTTTTGCAGGTTAAACGATGAACAGGTCCGAGACGGAATAGACTTAAGGATTCATGGCGATTGGAGAGTCTGGTATCAACTTCGACCGAGCGTAGAATTGCCAATTGAACAAACACAAACTTTACAAAACAAACCTGCCAAAATACTTCAATAAGATTTTGTATACAATTCAATCCGGTCGGATTAGTGATGGTTAAAGCTATTTTAATGATGATTTCTAGAAATTTGAGGCATGTTTACAGGTGCAATATGTCCGTAGAGAATTTCTCAAATTGATTAATCATTGTTTTAATTTCTCAACAACCAACATAAATAATTTGGTGTAATAAATATTTTTTGAGTTTAATATGTTGCAGTAACACTGTGCCCAATAGTCAAAGCAAAAATGTGACATCGGGATCAACTCAAGCTAAAGTTAAACTTTACCAGTTTTAACTATTCAAGTGAAAGCTAAATTTAAATTTTACCAATTTTCATTATTCAAGTGAAAAAGTAGTAGGACAAAGTAAAAGGTTGATTAACTAAAACTACACTATATAACAACATAAAATTAGGTGAAAGCCAACAAAATTGAGCAAAACTAGAAAGGCTAAATGAATCAACTATCCCTTTATTGCAATGGAGTTAATCCACCAAAAAATATTGATACATGAATGGACCTTAGCCCTCTTTATGAAGTGATACTTATTTTAGAAAATTGTCGGTCCTTGTGAAAACGCCTTTTGATAGCGGCAACCTTTCGAAAAACAATATGCCATACCATTTGAACAACGACGTTCTTTTATGAGGGATTAACAAAAAATAAAAACCAAGTTAGCCGATTCATAGCAAAACCTTTTTGGTCAATTTCATGTGGATGAAATTATAAATTCAATATTGCCGTTAAGTTATTTATAAGAAGATCTTAAATTTATTATTGACTATCAGATGTTACAATATAGTTTAACAAATCCAACGTCAATAGATCAAACCGTAGTTTAACATACAAAACCCTTCTCATTGCATATGTTATTGCATCCTCCATTTTGTTGCATATATTTTGTAACTACATCTGCATAAATTATCTTCCATTTTGTAAACAATAAGTTGATTCAGGTATTTCTTCATTTCCATTATTTGCAATCTTGAAAAATATTGATCATGAAGATTGTTGCATGAAACCAACCTTTTGACACCACTAAAACCAAAAAATGGCACCTGATTCAAAAACTCATATACTATAACCCAATACAAAATGAAGAATAAATCTCAACAAGGCTTGATCATAATGGTGTATGCTCATCAATCCAGCCAAATGACCAGTTATCGTAATTAAGGTAAGAAAACGATAGAATTATGTTTTTGTTTTTTTTTTTTTTCCAAATTAATGCATTTTGCTTTATATTAAAAATAAACAATGGCTAAAATGACGTCGTTTTACTGCTCATTTGATAAATAATATAATTATATGGCCAAAATGCTATGTAGCAGGAACACAGAAACGCCGATAGGGGGAAATAAGGAAACATATTCATGAAAACGGTCTAAACGTATAAATATTAAAAAAAATCAGCATAATCAATACTCTCGAATATGAGTTGGCGAACCACATCTTCATAATACTTTTCATATCAAAACCAACTGAATTGCCTCCCCAATCCAAACCATGATTGAGTGGATCTTCACAATTGCTACTGTGTCTGGAATAACTTTCATCATCGGAGGAATGTGGGATTGCTTCATCAATTCCAATATTGAAATCCATTGTGCCTATTTTATTTCAAAAACAACCTCAAAATCACATTGTTGATATTTATTTGAGCTTAGAAAATAATTTATAATACAAGACATGGATAAATAAATTGAATTTAATTAAGAAAAAAATATATACGAGTATACAGATCTGATGCGACTAAGTCACTAGATGCAACTAAGTCGAATGAGATAAAATTTTGGTAAAAAAAAAATAACATTAAGAAACACTTTTGTGTAGTTATATAAGTCCATATCAAATACACGGTAATTTACTGATATAAATTAGTACCGACAATAGCTAAACACGGAAAAGATGCTAATACACCATCAACTATCAAGATTAATTACATACTACTCATAAGGCAAATCCATTAAGTAACAGCAGATAAAAAATAACTAAATGAATACACAAGTAAAAATTGGTCTTCTCTATCCGGTCATTTTGTATGTTCAACATTGCAAATTTATCTATATGTTCAAATGTGAACTGTTGAATTTGAAATATTACCCAAGTCAAACTGAGAAGAATCACTCTGTGGTTTATTATTGCAACCTTATTTCTAGTGAACTACATATGAGATTTACAGATCATGCAGATCATTAACAAAGTTATCACCATCACCGATATTCAGCAATTTAACTTTATGAATTAGACTATAAATTCCTTGAGCTTTATATCCTTCATTATAATAATATCATTAACAAATTACTACAAGTGATGAATCCATAAGTATACCAACTCTGTTTTAGTACTCTGTTTTAGTCCAATCAAAACAATAAATTCACTCTAATTCAAAATAATAAAACCGTGAACTATGTCTTTGACAAAATCAATGAAGATAGACCATACTTTTTGCCAAAACAATTATGTAAAACAGTATCTACAAGATGAGAAACATATTTAATTACTGTTTGTCCAGCAAATAGGACCGAAAAAAAGTAAAACGAAGAACATAACCAATAGGAAGATATAAAATCATTCATGGTCTTTAAAGCTTTAATTCTTAAGAAAGAAGAATAATTAAAATATGTCGGACCTAAAATTAAATATCTTACAATCGGCCGGAGAGGAGAAATGTGAGCGTAGTGCTTGACGGCTATGGCGGGATCGTCAGAAGATGAAAAAGAAAAAAAATGTTTTGTCTGTCGGTAATTAGGGTTCAAAAAACACAGAAGAAGAATAAGGAAGAAGAAGAATTAAATTATATTACGTGTTTACTGGTGTAATTACATCTTAATTATTAATTATTATTAATTATTACTTAAGTTTTAGTTATAGGGATTTTTATGTAATTTCACGTATAAGGTAGGTATCGTACTTTTTTTTATGGGGTTCGTACAAATCATACGTGTCACATTTTTATTGGTTGATTTTCAATCGTTTGGGTCCGAGTAGTACAGACCCTCTCGGACCCTAGACAACCCCTAGTGAGTTATGGCCATGTTCTTTTTTTTTTTTTTTTAGGGTGGTGACTTGGTTTTGGTTTGGCTGAAATAAATTGGGTTTGGAAAAAAAAAACCTGGTTTCTTTTTAGTTAAAAGAAAAATAGAAACCGCTATTTTTTTCGATCTATCGCTCAAAGTTTGACCTAGTTTATCGGTTTGACATGCCTCAATCAATTATAAAACGCCAAACACCGCCACAAAACGTAAAAATGATTTTTGAATTCTCAACATAAATGTTTAGTTACTATGACCAACGCCTAGACGACCGATATTTAAAACACTGAATAAAATTCAAGGTAATTGAACCCTTAAGAGACTAGAGCAACTCTAATGAAAGTATGAAAATAAAATGTAGAAATATTAAATAAAGATGTAATTATATAATAGAGAGCGGGAGTATAATCAAACCACAAGAAAAATGGTTCAAGTTCAAAACTCAATACACATATATTTTTAGCTAATACACACACTCAGTTACGTTCATAGTAAAATACAGTTACGTACTTACGTTATATATTACAGAAATTACAGAAAATAGTTGGTAGATACAATCATACAAACACCAAATAAGATTAATTAATAACAAAATGATGCAGACTTAAAATCAAATTCTTAATAACCCAATAAATACAACATTATTTGAATTTATTTATTTATCTCCCATTCAGAGCAGCAAACTGAGCAAACATAGCAGTTCCAGAGTGCTCCTCAATTACCGAAATTTCACCAGAACTTTTATCATCCGCCTCACCCGCCGCCGCCGCCGCCGGAGTCACCGCCCTATTATCCGCGGCGGAATCATCACCAGCCACCGCCACAACAACCGGAGCCGCCGCCGCGTCCTCCACATTATTCCCCTGAGACGACGCCTCCTGCAGCTGCAAAGCGTACTCCAAGTTCCAAAGCACATCTCCCATGGTCGGCCTATCGACGCCGTACTCCGACAAACACTTCTCCGCCGCCTCCGCGAATTTCTTCATCGATTCGGCGTTTATGTGCCCTACAAGCGACGGATCTATGATTTTATCGAGCAATCCTTTTCTCTTCCACTGCATCGCCCACTCCGCCAAATTCACCTGCTCTCTCGGCAACGATGGATTAATCGCCGGCCTAGCGCAGAGAGCTTCCAGCAAAACGACGCCGAATGAGTACACGTCGGATTTATCCGTTAGCTGTTGCTTTCTGAAGTACTCAGGATCTAAATACCCGAAACTACCCTTCACCGCCGTGCTGACGTGTGTCTGCCCCTCCGTGGTGGGGGCGTCCTTCGACAGACCGAAATCCGCCATTTTAGCGACGAAATTCTCGTCGAGTAGTATGTTTGTTGTTTTGACGTCGCGGTGGATGATCCCCTGCGCGGCGCCGGTGTGGAGGTAGTGGAGCCCACGCGCCGCGCCGATGCAGATCTCGAGCCTTTGCTTCCACGGCAGATGCGGCATCTCCTTGCCGTAGAGGTGGTCGCGTAATGGACCGTTGGCCATGAATTCGTACACGAGGATCATCTCGGAGTTCTCGTCGCAGTATCCGATTAGAGATACGAGATGACGGTGACGGAGTTTGGAGAGGATTTGGATCTCCGTTTGGAACTCGTTGATGCCTTGCTCCGACTGAGGGTTTCCACGTTTCACGGCGACTTTTTGGCCGTCGTCGATTTCTCCGATGTAGACGTTACCGAATCCTCCGACGCCGATGATGGCGGCCGGATCGAAGTTGTTGGTGGCGTCCTGTAGCTCGGCGAAGGAGAAGTATCTGCCTAACCCCATCGTCGACGAGAAAACCTGGCTTTTTCTCGATCCGAGAGAATTTTTACTGCTCGACATAAAGCTGGTGTCGCCGGCGTGAATTGGTAGCAGCCACGACGAGAAACTGTTCCTCTTCTGCCAGTCCTGCGGCCTCTTCTTCCACTTCACCGCCATCGCCCCCAATCCGATGAACGCGCCGAACATCATCGCGAATCCGACGGCGGCCACTGTTCCGTTGACCGTGTTCGTGCCGGCGGCGTTCTGGCCGTTGACTCCGAACTCGCCGTCCAGACTGCCGACGGAGTTGTTCATCTTCAAAACCTCGAGGCCGTTCAGGAGGGCGTTCTTTGTGCCGGCGTTGTCGTTCATCGGCCCGACTTGGACGGTCAAATTGTCGAACCCCGAAACCATGGTTGCGTTCACCACGAAATCCGCGAAATAAGCGGCGGTTAATCCGCCGGCGGCCGTTGTTAGATCTAACGCCGTTATTGCCGGTTTGCCGTTAATATAAACGTTGAAGTACAGATCGTTAGTAGATTTGCTCACAATATCGGCGAAATGCAGACGGACGAGATATTGAAAAGAATTATCTATCTTCATTTTCCACGTAATATTGAAACTCGGAGCCTGCAATTAATAACATAGGAGTTTTATGCTAAACAAAATATATTATGGGGTTTATTTGCTAATATTAATAATATAGGTACCTCTTTAGCAATTGGCTACTAAATAAGGGTGTTAAATATAATAAACTCATTTAATCTTTTATATATTATTTAATTATTTTTAAAAAGAACACACTTGAATTTTGGAGCTCACCATAACATTGGCGTCCGCCATTTGGGTGGCGGTGGCGTAAACCACAGGCGGCGCAATCAACGGCGACTCGCCGTCGGGGTAGGTGATCACGTTCGGCTCGACGGAGGCGGTGCTTCCGACAACCGGCGGGTCCAGGTACAGCTTATCCGATTCCCACGTCCTTCCGAGGGTGTCGTTCTCCGGGGTGACGGTGGGGCCGCCGGCGTTGATCCTGTACACCGTCTGGTACGCGGCGTTGAGGAGGCCGGAGTAGTCTCCTTTGGGGAACACGGCGGTGGCTACGTCGCCGATGAGAATATCCGGCGCGGAGACGAACTCGATCGCGTTGACGAAGGCGACGCTGCCCACCGCCGGGTCGAAGGCGACGGAGAATCGCTCGGTGGTGACGTTGACCAGGTACTCCTTGAACGACCACGTGGCGTTCGCCGCGTTCTCGAAGTCGTGGATCAGCACCAGGTTGCTGCTGGTGCTCACCTTAAACTGCGCCGCCTTCAGATCGTGCTGCGTGTTCTGGACCGGGGCGAAATGGAGCCGGATCCAGTGCCAACCGGGTCGGACCACGTGGAAAGTGTACGTTGCCAAACTCTCAAACACCTTCGCCGACGAGTAGATCTGCGACGGGAAGTCGGAACCTGCGGAGGCGGAAACCTGGATGTCTCGGCCGTTGTAGGACAAATACTTGCTGGTGTCCGGATCGCCGAGGAAGACGCGGTTTCCGGGGAGGGTGGTGGAGGTGGAGTTACCGCAGTCGAGGAGGTAATTGTCCGGCGGGGAGAAGGAATCGGATTTGGCAGGAGCGTTGAATCTGGCGGCGTTGGATGAAAGAAATAGGAGAGAGAAGAGAAGAAGAACCAGGAGGATGGAGGGCGGCGATGGGCGGAGCCACCGTGGAGGTATATTGTCCATGATTGCTCCTCCTGGTATGGAGGGTGGGAGAGAATAAGAGAGAGAGGTGTCTATAGAAGAATGGCGAGTGAAAATAGGGGTTTCATTGGATGTGGGTTTGGAAAGATTATAAACGTTGTGGTGGCTTTTTTATTTTATTTTTATTTTTATTTTCTGTTTTTAATTAATGTTTAGCTTTGATTTCCGTTTTGGTATTCCGCCGTTTTCGGGGGATTGTGGGACAACGAGACTAATTCGTTTTATTTTTTTATTTTTATTTTTTGAGGGAAATTAAAATGGGAGGTTATAAATTGTGGAATATCTCTTGTGAAAATTGTTGTGTAATAGAAAATTTGTACAACAACTAAAGTAAACAAATAATTAAACATTTGTAACGTGGGCAAATTGGATGGGTGCTTAAGGAAAAATATAATAAGAGGGAAACTTTATGAAATAGACATTTAAAACATGGGGTTTTTGGGATAAAGTGCCCAACCATACACCTTTATTATTCTAGGTTCATGGTCATTTTCTTCTTTACACATAAGTCCATCACTTACACCTTACTAACTAGAAAAAGGCAACTTACTGTTTTATGACAGTTTTGCCCTCGTATATGAGCTGCTCATTAATTGAACCCTAAGCTCGATATTAAGTATTCTCTACACGCCCGAACATAAGGTTTCTCTCTGTATACTGTCAATCGCTTCTCTCTTGCAAGGAATTTCGTTGAATCTCGCGTTATACGTTCATCTCCACTGCAGATAAGTACGGTGCGTGAATGAATTCGAACATAGTTAAGCTATTTTTCAAAAAAAAAAAATTAATACGCAAAATGATCGGAATGTGAATTACGGGAAATCAGAAATATTGACGTTCGGTGTTTGAATGTTTTGAATTCTGTTGAGTTTTTGGAATTTTTGTGTGTGTTTTTGTTCGAAGGATAATTTCTCATTATTTTTGATATATTACGTTTGTTTTGTAATAGCATGTTCATTTAATGAAGTGTTTTGGTGTTGTCACAGTAAGTTTTTATAATTTTACTGTAACTGGCAGTACAATTTTGATTATACAATTTTTTTATATCTTTACAATCGTTTTTCCCTTTGTTATTACGTTACTGCTAGTAACATAAATCTTTACAATCGTTTTTCCCTTTGTTATTATGTTACTGCTAGTAACAGTACAGTTAGTGTATAGTTGTAATTGATGGATACATGGCTTCGTTGCTTAGATTTGACTTTCTTTTCACTTTATACCTATGTTACTGTCAGTGACAGTATAATTAATGTATAGTTGAATTTGCAGATATAACGACTCCTTCTGTTGCGCTGTTATTAAAATATGGTGAGCGTTTTATACAGTTACAGAGCTTAGAATAGGGATGGGTTATGCTAATATTGTGAATTTTGTATGTTCAGATGGGAATACTCGCATCGTGATAAGCTGTCGTTCATGTATCATGTCCCCACGATTGGTGATTTTTTACTAAAAGATGACAAAGATATATCAGGGCTTCTTTTACTAGTTGATCAATTTTCTATTCGAAGGATTGAAGTTACTGTGAAGGTAGTTCAGTCATCGTGCAATTTGGTTGAAACAAGGTCGATGGCATGTTCTCCGAGTACATTACCTGTCTCTGATGTTCAAGCACACACTGCAATTGCTAATTCACTATGTAATCCACTTAGTGTTTCCTGCACAAAGAAGGTTTTGCTCAGTTCACATTGGGCAAACTTGATTACTGATGTCGGTCAAGTATTTCGTGGGGGTCGGCTAGAATTTAGAAAAAGTTTGTCGAAGTTTGCATTTGAGATTGGATTTGAATTCAAGTATACTAAAAATGACAAGAGGAGAGTGACAGTTGTTTGCAAGTTCAGAGAGTCGAAAAATTGTTTATGGAGAATTCATGCCTCAGTTGAATTTTTGACTGATTTTTTTATTATGCGTACTTATGAGAAATTCCACATCTGTGGATCAACATTTAGTGTTGCGAAGAAGTTAAGAATGGGTTCTAAGATTATAGCTGAAGCTATTGTGGAGAATATGCAGGCAAAACCATTGATGTATGCTAATGATGTTATTATTAAAGCGAAGAAGGATTACGGGATTACTACTAACTATCATGTAGCATGGAGAGCTATTGAAGCTAGCAGGAGTTGTGTATTTGTAGATGAAGCATTGTCTTTTTCATTCCTCACATTGTACTTTCGCGAAGCTGGACGTTGTAATCGTGATAGTGTTTTCGACGTGGAAGTTGATAATGCAGATAACTCGTTCAAGCGGTGCTTCTTCAGCTTTGGGGCATCTTTATCTGGATTTAAGTTCTGTCTTCAAATGCTCATCTTGGATGGCACATTTTTGAAAGAAAAATACAAAGGTGTTCTTCTAAGTGCCATTGCGAAAGATGCAAGAAATGGTGAGTTTTACATTTTCAGTTTCGGTCATAGTTTATTTTACTGTCAGTGTCAGTAACATAGCAGATCTTGTGTTTTATTTTTTTCAGGTCTCTATCCAGTTGCATTTGCTATTGTACGGGATGAAAATATTTCTAATTGGGATTATTTCATGAATCATTTAAGAATTGCACTTAATACAGATAATGTTTTGACATTTGTATCAGATCGACAACGAGGCATTTTGGAAGCTGTTAAAAACATTTTCCCTCATTGTCATCATTCTTTTTGCATTCTGCATCTAGAGAATAATTTGAAGAATAGGTTGAGTTGGATGCCGCCTAATTACAGGGATATGTTAGTAAGACAATTTACAGCTTGTGCATATGCTCTGACTAAGCAAATTTTCCATCAGAACCTTGACAAATTAAAATCAAGTGGTTCAAAAAAAGTTATTGATTTCTTGTCGGATGTGCCTTTTGATAATTGGGCTTATGCTTACGTTGAGTCCTGTAGGTATGGTGAGTTATATTCGAATGCAGTAGAGTCACGGAATTCTGCAATGAAGAAA